CCTGCCGAACGTGGCGGGTCGCGTCGCGCGCAGATAAGAGATCGGCGGCGTACCAGCGTAAACAACCTCGGAAGAAACAAATTTCTAGGCTGGGCGAGCGGCGCTCGGGGGGGTGGGGAACCGGCGGAGTCGCAAAGTCAAGTTTCCACAGGGCAGGTAGATCGGCAATCCCCGAACTGCCTCAGCCGGTAACCCACCGAGCATCTCGTCCTAATCCTGTTTGCAGGATGAGCCGGCCGTTGCAGCCTGTGTTTGATTATTTTAGGATTTCCCGAGGTCCGGAGCTGGCGCGTTTTGTTCCCGCGTCCCTGTGCTCCGCGACGGATTACGCGCTCGCGCGCACGCCCACCGTAAATCCTCTTTCCCCAGAAACGCCGGAATCCTGGCCCCCGATGTCTCGATCATCGATCTGCTCGGAGGACCAACGGCGGTGTTCCCGATTTTTTGCCGGACTCGGTTGCGCTCGGTATTTAGTCTTTCGACCCAGGCTAATACCAGTTGCATTTTTATCCGGCCCCGATTTTCCTTCGTTTGCTGTAATTCTTCACGATTTTCTGGAACGCTGTCCTCCATTTTTTTTTCGGCGTTGGGTACGGAAGACTCTCGTCGCGTTAGCTCCGCACCGAGCGGCAAGTAAATCCGGTGGCCGTTTGCGCGAGCCAGAACACCAGGGACCGGAGCCAAGGGAGGGAACGAGGCGGAGTAAGTTACTCACCTGCAGAAACCACGGTGCTGGCCGGTTGCTGGTAGTGTCCTACACGACAAAAGACCAGGTATTTAAGATTCCATTGTACCTTTTAAACGGTCGGCATTATTTGGTTAAACTGTAGGCGTGGTGCGAATTTCGGGCTGCACGGTCCCTGGAGATGGCCGAGTTAGAGGTACCGCGCTGCTGGATACAGCCTGGGCGTTTCGGTGGTGTATCCGACGAAATCTCGATACACTGCGGACCGCGAAAATCGGCTTTTAAAGACGCCCCCGCGAATTCGAAGGTACCCGTCGCCTGCGACCACCCTAAGCACGCACGCCGAGGTTTAGGAGTCGATTCCGAAGCGACTAGATTCGCTCCCAGGACGAGCCGAGCTAGGGGAGCCGCTCGACCATGAAACGCCAAACTAAACGGCGCTTCGGGGCCCAAATATGAGAGACAGCTCCCCTCGGATCGCTGGCGTCCCTGCCACGCCGTGCCCCGAGCGCACGCACACAAGCGCGTCACACCAGGCGCGCACACCACGGCGGAAACGCGTGTATTTATTCCGGTGCACGTAGGAAAGCGCAAAAAGGGCATAATGGACCCCGCAGCCAGATAGGTGTACATAATGAGGTTAGCCGAGGGGTGGAGTAAGGGAGGATAGCGAGAGCGGGGTGGTTGTCGACGGTGGAACGAGCGAGAAGGACGAAGTCACGGCGACGTGGAGGGGGAGGATCGTTCCCCCCCTCGTCCAGGACGCATCTGCCCCATTATGCTGCCCCGGGGCACTCCCGAGACCATTAATCCTCGCTAAACGACAGCCATTTTGTACCTAAACTGGATTGCCGACTCACTAACTGGTTTTGAGGACGCTTAATAGACTACTCGGCGCTCCTATTATGGCGATCGCGCATCCGCGCTATATTTCGGTGTCGTTTATTCCCCGCTAATGTGCAAACGGCTTTGGGAATGCCCCGAGCCGAGCCAGCTCCTCCTTCCTGGAGAGGATGGGGCGAGAACCGCGTGCAAGACCATGCTCGTTCCGATAGGACGAGCCGGTAGAGCCTGATCCAGGGAGATCCTGCCGCGCGATCGTCGCGCTGATGACACTGGAAAGGCGAAACGTGTCCTCTTTTGTTAACCCGGAGGGATCCATGGTTAGCTCGCCGAGCCAGGCGGCTGATTAATAATTTCGGGATCGTGGCTCGGAGCTTGAAGACTCCAAATGATTTTTCTTGTTCGGGTTGCGACGGGTGCCGGAAGCAGAGTGTCGACAAATTATTTTAATGTGAGAACCTTGGGCTACATTGGGTGTCATTTCGGATCGATAACTCTAGGACAAAACGGGGCTCCCATGTTTCGACGCGGAATGGACACCCGAACGATTTTACGAGCCATCATTTTTGCAAATACATACAATGTCTCCCTAATTGACGCTCAGATTGTCCACAAAAATGGACATTTTGGAAAGAGGAGATGCGATTATTCGAGGCTCGCGGCTCGTTTTTACAGTTACCGATTGTCAACGATTATAAAAACAAGGTGCAAAGCCAGAATAATCGTATCTCCTGTTCCCAAATTGTCCATTTTTCTGCACAATCTGAGCGTCGGTTAGAGAGACATTACTGTAATCCCGTTGCGAAGCCAACAGAATTGAAAAAAAGAGTTTCATTATACTCTACGAAGATCGTTGTTCTCCCCCTGATCCTTTGCGAAGACGACCCACGGCTTCCCGTCGTGCAGTTGTAACAAGATTTTGGTTAATCGGCTTGACTCCCAAGTCTGCGTCGAGGAAAGTCTGCTCCTCTTCCCTGGTTCCTCTGCCAGACCCTCCCACAAGACAAGGCTTTAGTTGTCACTCCGGAGTATCGCCGGCCACCTGCCAATCGGATTACATTAATCCGAAAATACTGTTCGCCCGGTGTACATACAACAACATCGTGAAGAGTCGGTGAACCGACAGGCGTGGCGGGGGGTTCGTCTACGACGAGGACTCGTCGGTTCCCAGTCGCAATTAACTTCGTTACAACGGACTCTAATCCCGCTGTACCTGCGCACTGTTTTGAATTGCTTATCGAGGCACAATGGAGATTTAAGCGTAGTTTGGATTCGAACGTCTCCGACGAAACAAACAATCCCGACTTCTCCGAATCGCGGCACCACCACCCCCGCCGAACAACCAGCCATTTAAAAATCCACAACAAGTACATCAAAAACCTGTCGATCAAACTTTCAATCTCCATCAATCATTTACCCTTCGATACGCCCAATCCGAGGCACGAGCGAAAAGCTATCCCATCCCGGGCACGAGAGAACTTTTTCCAGGGAAAAAGCTGGCTGCTACACCAACGTCGGCATTCCGACAACGTCATTATCCCATCAGGTTCGCCGAGCGGGATGGAGGGATGCGGAGAGACAGGGAAACAGAGGGATCGTATGCGCACTCGCGCGTTCCCGCGTCCGCGCGTCGCCCACGAACACACAGACTCGCGGAACGAGGATTGCCAATCAATTCGCGCATCGTGCCCGGGAATTAGACAATTAGGAGTCGTCACGTTCCCCGAGCAGTTGCCTCATCATCCCCCTGCCGCCTCGCGTTCCGCTTCAGCCCTTGCGGCCGACCTTCCCCCACCCGGCGGCCGCGTCATCCCCACGCCGGCCGCGCGAGCGCGTTGCGAACACCTGAAAATCGCCTTCGGGCAGGAGCTGTCAGCGCCATCTGGCAGCGGAGGGGGTCGCTGCGCTGTNCAGTTACCGATTGTCAACGATTATAAAAACAAGGTGCAAAGCCAGAATAATCGTATCTCCTGTTCCCAAATTGTCCATTTTTCTGCACAATCTGAGCGTCGGTTAGAGAGACATTACTGTAATCCCGTTGCGAAGCCAACAGAATTGAAAAAAAGAGTTTCATTATACTCTACGAAGATCGTTGTTCTCCCCCTGATCCTTTGCGAAGACGACCCACGGCTTCCCGTCGTGCAGTTGTAACAAGATTTTGGTTAATCGGCTTGACTCCCAAGTCTGCGTCGAGGAAAGTCTGCTCCTCTTCCCTGGTTCCTCTGCCAGACCCTCCCACAAGACAAGGCTTTAGTTGTCACTCCGGAGTATCGCCGGCCACCTGCCAATCGGATTACATTAATCCGAAAATACTGTTCGCCCGGTGTACATACAACAACATCGTGAAGAGTCGGTGAACCGACAGGCGTGGCGGGGGGTTCGTCTACGACGAGGACTCGTCGGTTCCCAGTCGCAATTAACTTCGTTACAACGGACTCTAATCCCGCTGTACCTGCGCACTGTTTTGAATTGCTTATCGAGGCACAATGGAGATTTAAGCGTAGTTTGGATTCGAACGTCTCCGACGAAACAAACAATCCCGACTTCTCCGAATCGCGGCACCACCACCCCCGCCGAACAACCAGCCATTTAAAAATCCACAACAAGTACATCAAAAACCTGTCGATCAAACTTTCAATCTCCATCAATCATTTACCCTTCGATACGCCCAATCCGAGGCACGAGCGAAAAGCTATCCCATCCCGGGCACGAGAGAACTTTTTCCAGGGAAAAAGCTGGCTGCTACACCAACGTCGGCATTCCGACAACGTCATTATCCCATCAGGTTCGCCGAGCGGGATGGAGGGATGCGGAGAGACAGGGAAACAGAGGGATCGTATGCGCACTCGCGCGTTCCCGCGTCCGCGCGTCGCCCACGAACACACAGACTCGCGGAACGAGGATTGCCAATCAATTCGCGCATCGTGCCCGGGAATTAGACAATTAGGAGTCGTCACGTTCCCCGAGCAGTTGCCTCATCATCCCCCTGCCGCCTCGCGTTCCGCTTCAGCCCTTGCGGCCGACCTTCCCCCACCCGGCGGCCGCGTCATCCCCACGCCGGCCGCGCGAGCGCGTTGCGAACACCTGAAAATCGCCTTCGGGCAGGAGCTGTCAGCGCCATCTGGCAGCGGAGGGGGTCGCTGCGCTGTTCGCGGGGCTGCAAGTTGGAAGAGGAAGAGATTCGACGGGCTCCGATTGGCGAAGCCGAACGAGCCGCGACACGCCTACTTTCGAGGGGTCCGGGTTAGGGTCGTGGTGTGACTGGAGTGGCCCGCATTGGCCGAGGAGGCGACACGGTACCGGTTCCACGGGTCTCGCGGGGGCGGCGCGCGCCCAGCGGCGGCGGGCACCGCGACGCCGACCGCCGCGCCGAGAGAGAGAACGCCTCGACTCGCCTCGCCTCGCCGCGCCTCTCGCCTCGCCTCTCTCGCCTCTCGCGCCTCTCTCGCCGTTCGCCGCTCGCCTCTCGCCTCGCGCCTCTCTCGCCTCTCGCGTCGGCAGGCCTCTCCGCAGCCGAGCTCGGTAATCAGTGTCGTTTCCGCGGCAGCAGTGGCCACCACGCGGCAGATTACGCAGATTACACCGAACCCCCCCGCGTATCCGACGGTTGTGACGCGCTTGTGACAGTGCCGGGGGTCCGTGGGCTACGCGAGCCTTGGCGGCTGACTCGCGCAGGGGACGTTATCCAAGCGATAGAAGCTTCTTCCCTTCCACCAGCATCGTCAGCCGCAGCCTCTCCGTCTCCGGCGTGCCACGAAACCCGAGACAGAACTGTCGTTAGGCTTGATCCGACCTGACGGACTTATCTTCGGGCCACGATGCCCGATACGCTTCATCGGTGGAGATGACTCGACGCGGTGACAGTGCCCCAGGCTGCCCATAGTGTTCACGAGCATTGTAGATCTCCGAAACCCGCGGAGATAGGATCGGTCGTCCGCCCGGAACTTCGTCGCGGAACTTTCGGGATCGAGGCGATGACGGTTGCTTGAGGGACGAGAGCCGGACCGTCATGTCGATCTCTTGAACAGAGGGACGCTGGAAGTTTAATGGGGCGATCCGCTGGTGCCGGGTCGGTCGGTTCGCGGCGATGCGCCGGGTTCCGAGAATAACGGGCCCCGCGATGGCAGTCCGCGCGCATTCCCGATGATATTGCGACCGATCGGAGAGCAGCCGGTGCGATGACAGGCCCCAGTTGGTTGTCGCGTTGATGGTAGTTCGCGGACCGTTTGGACAGTATAATACGATGCTCGGTTGGTGGCCCGACTCTCTCTTGTCACGCGAGAAAGTGACGCCGCGGTAGGACCAAGTGCGATCTGCGATGCGTTCGAACGTCGCACCGGCGAAGTAATCGGTAGCCTGGAAGCAGCCAGCAGCCAGCAAAACGAGCCCCGACGTGCGAGAAGGGATATCATGAGCAGCAGCGAGGGGGTGGTGACGGGCCAAGGAACCGGCAGCGATCGGCTGTGCGAGGACGTGGACATGGCGACCCCGACGTCGGCGTCGTCGAACCTGAAGCCGCGCAGCGGCAAGATCAGCTTCAGCGTGGACTCCCTGCTGAGCGACATGAAAAAGACAGCGGTGACCGGCGGGGGCGTGGGCGCGTTCGCCAGGCGAGAGGCCGAGGACCGTTTGGAGTCCGAGAAGAGCCTGGACATGGAGACCAGGTACCGGGAGCTGTTGATCGAGCAGCAGAGGCTGCAGAGCCGGGAGCTGCTCGCCAGGCTGAGTCCCCACGGGCTGACCTTCGGCAACCATCACCATCATCATCCGAGCAGGCTGGAGCAGCAGGATCATCCGTCGGCAGGCCGGCAGGAGATGCTCACGGTGAAGGACTTCTCGCGGACGACCAGCCACGACAAATCCTCCTCGCCGATTAGAATAGACCCGGAGGCGCAGCGCGACAGGGACGACAGACGACTGTCGTCCTCCGGCTCGCCGGCCAGCAGGATCGCCGAATCCATGATACAGCGCGGGGGCCAGGAGGAGGACGAGAGGATCGACAGGATCACGAATCCTCGATCGGTCTCGCCGGCCAGCAGACGCGAGATCCTCGACGATAGAAGCGACTCCGAGGCGAATCGGTCGCTCGAGGGCGACAGGACCGGCGACCACCTGGACCTCGAGGACCAAGAGATCCGAAGCATCGGCCAGTCCGAGGACCTGAACGTGATGGACTCGGACTGCGAGCTGGAGAGGGACATCGAGGCCAGCCAGGAGAAGGAGGAGAAGTCCAGCCCGGTAGTGCCGCAGCCGATCCATCCGGGTGTCCAGAGGCCCTCGCAGGGTCCGCCTTACCTCGCCGGTGCACCCGGCGCCCCCGGATGGAATCCCGCGGGATTTCCGCATTCCCTCGCGGGGTTCGCGTGGCTGCCCCCACCCCCGCACCCGCACAACCCTCACGGACACCTCTACACGCCGCACGGAGGACCCACCAGCCCAAACGGTAAGCATCTTCCACCCTTCGAGCCCTCCTGCGCGACCCTGTTTGCACCTGGCAGCCAAGCTTCGAACGCCTCGAAGTATCTCAAGATTGGCCCAATATTGTCTGCGGATCTTGCGCCTAGCTATTTCCAACTGCGACGCATCAAGATTAAAGCAGACCCCTGTTTATCCTTGAGCGATGGAGTCAGTCTCCAAACAATCGAGGACCGTCTCTCAACGTCGCGCGACAGAAATCGTAGTTCCGCGACTCCGAACGGTAACGCGTTGCTATCGATCGCAAGCCGCGAGAACGCAATCGAGAGCCGCGTGCCGCGGTCGACTCGTGGCCCTAATTACTCGCGCAATTTCAAATCGATCGCCGCAGCTGAGCGTCGCTCTCTTGCCACCCGCAACACCGAGATCTCTTTCAGCGTCGCTGTCACGGCTATTCCCGGGAAAACCGATACCAACGATGAGGTAGAAACCCAATTGGCCAATCCCTGGAAGACTCCTCCGATCGTCTTCGGTTTCCGACTTGTCGAGGAAACAATATTCTCGAAGAAACGACAGCCGAGCCCCGGGCCGAGAGGCTTATCGAGCCAATTTACGGGGTCCGCGGAGCATTTTCGCCTATCGGCGAGGATTTTCCCAGCGGCCAGATTACAATGTCGATGATTAGGAGGCTGACGGCGCAGCTCGCACGGCATTCGAGACACGCAGGTCCATAACGCTCGATATTAGTGTTGCCGGTCACGCGAAAACCCGGTTATTATCGGAATTACGTGCTAAAGTATTCGCCACAGTGGCTCCCGGTTCGGACCGCGACAGCTCCATAATTGAACGCTGCCAGTCGGATGTTGTTACCGCGGAAAAGCTTTCCTGCCACGGCGGAAGGCGCGCACCGTCGCTCGGAAACTTGTCGCGGGTTTATCTGCTCGGATAACGAAGGCGCTCGACCGCTCCCGGAGACTCCGTTTTAATGATTCCTGTAATCTCGGAGTTCGTTCCCTGGATGAGCTACCGTGGATCTAATAAAATCGGCTGTACAGGGGATCATCCGGGCGCGCGAACGACGCGAGAATTGAACGCGCGACGCTCGAATCGCACCTTTACAGCCGATAAATAGATTTTATATCCGTCGGAAGGACGAACAAATTGTAGTAATGGCCGCTTTCGGCTCGACCGACCGCTCGGTTTCATTTCAATTAGCACCGCGCCGATCCGTTCGCCAGTGCCCCTCCTCGCTTTGGACACTTTCTACGTTGTTCGAGCAGAAACGGCGGATGCACCTAGCATTTCGTTTAAATTGGTACACGGGAATGAAGTTTGCTGCCTCGGTGCTCATTATCCGCGAAGCGTTGGAGGGAAAGGTTCCAATTAAACCGCGAAAATGTCACGTTTATCTTCGCATGAGCGCCGTCATCATTTTTTCGCCGCGCAGAGCCGACTTAGCACGCGTTCCAAGTTTCGCGCCGACCGTATCTCCTCGCACCCTTCGATCGGCCGCGGATCGCCGATCTTTCTCGATTCCGTTCCACAAACGTCAGCCCGAGAGATCGGCGATTTCTGCGGGCCACTCGGCTCCGCCGATCCGTCGATCCGCCGATCTGCAACTAGGCTATCGGGACACGCGACCCTACGATTCACGGAGAACGCTGAACAGCCGATTTTTATCGCTCGTTAGACGGACACTCTGTCGCAGCGGAACTCTCTTCCATCGATCGCGGTTGGAAAACAAGCGTCGATCGAGCGGGACCGACTTCGAATCACGGCGGAACGATGTCGCAATACATCCTACATCGTTCGAGGATCCTATGATCCATCAATTACTCCTAACGACCCTCCGAGGAAGAAAAAAGAATCCGGCTGCGGAAAGAGCTCAGCTCGAACGCGAAGCATAAATTGACCACCTCGAATTATATCGAACCGGGGGATTAGAATTGATTTTCTGTAAACTAGTTAGTTCCACGCCGTCGCTCTGGACCTTCGCCGAACGCGTCTCGTTCAGCGTTCCGTTATCGGTGTAAATTTTCACCGAACGAGCTGTTTGGAGTGTCTCGATGTTTCTAGAATGCTCGTCGATGATTTTGATGTCCGCTTTCGAGCGGTCGCGCGCGTTGATTGCTTCGCAGAACCTTCATTCACCGATACACGAAGTAATTACCCTCTTCGCGCTGATAGTACTAAACCGTGTTTCGCAGTAAACGCGCGGGGCTAGCCTTCTAAATCGCACTCCGCACAATTATGGAAATTCCCGGGTGATAATAATAATGGTGTAAGTGTCTCAATAATTGCGGCGGCTCGCGAACAAGCAATTATCCGTCTCGCAGCGGCGTATTTACCGAAGAAGACTGTAACGAACACACTTCTTTTCCCCCGGTGATCCGGTCGGAGTCATTATCTTTCTTTACGACGTTCCGGAAGACGTTTTACGGCCCATTCATCAAAATCTTTACCGCGGGGCCAGCCTCTATACGAATGCCATAAATTCTCCGTCGACGATTAAGTGTACTAATAATTATTTAAATTTTATCGTCGCCTGGGAAAAGTAAAGAGAACAAAGTAGGCACATAATAAACGGAACCGAATGCGAGCAGGACGGAAGAACGCGAGCTAATTAGCCCCGAATCGCGACGCGACGAACGAAACGCCGCGGCGAAACGAGTATCGCGTGCATCGGCACGATTCGGCGAGCACAAACGCACCTAGGGATCTCGATGAAACGCGATCGCTATAGTTGCCCGAGCAGAACTACTGGAAAAGTCTCTCGATTACGACTGTCGGTTCATCGACTTGGCCGTGCTGGCGTCACGCGTTCGTTCAGGGGCTCGTTAGGTTCCGCGGCCGAGGGCCAAGGGCCGTGGGCCGAGGGCCGAGACGGAGCATAATGCGTCAACGGCGCGAAATAATCGGTCAATTAAAGCTGGCCACGCTACCGGGATCGATTCGCGGATCGATCCGACCGCGGAGAACGCTGCGGTACGCCCCGCCTCGTGCCTCGGTCCTAACATCCACGCCTGTTAGACTTAATTGACGATTTTACCTTAACGGCGGCCGGTTTGTACCGGCCTCTTAACAGATACCTTTCCTCGGCTCGTGACTTTCGTCTGTCCCCGTCTCTCCCGGGCCCTCATTGATCCTCTCTCTCCTCGCTCTCTCTCTCTCTCTTTCTTTCTCCCGCGACACGTGTACCGCCGGGTCCAATTAAAATTTTTACCCGCGTCCTCCGCGACTACGAGTTTTCCTTTAGGGCAACGATTCAATTCCGCGCACCTGAGCATTTTCGGGATCCGAGGCCAGTAGACCGGTGTCCCCCAATGCGTTCAGATCCTGGAGTCGGTTTTCGCTTCCTCTGGCATTCTGTTACCCCGGAGCCATCCTATAAATCCCGTAATCTGATGAAAACAGTTTCCTTTGAACTGCCTGGAATTTCTTGATTGCCTACACCAATTTCACTGCGCCCGTGATTTTCTTATTCATTCACTATTCGGCTCGTCCGTAGATTCTAAATTGTCCGTTTCTCCGTGGTTCCCCATGGTCCACGGGAATACGATTTTCCCCGGGGCATTATCATTGCAAAGTGGTCGATCGTATCAGCGTCTCGTTACCATGAGCAAACTGTATCAAGATCGCAGATCGCCGAGATAGATGTTCAACAATAATTATTTACTGGACGAATAAATTTCCGCTGTCCGAAGACAGGAAAGTCTTCCTTCTATCCGACAAGAATCGCCGGACGATAGTTCTTTGCTGTTGAGAAAATTCAGCAACGGTAAGTCCGAGTTCCAGAATCGTGTTAGAACATCCGAAAATATTTAACGACACGTTCACTTCCAGCATCAATATCGCTGCTTGACCGCAATATATTGGTTCCCGGAATAGTACGATTTTAAACGGTGGTATGCGCAAAATGAATTGGACTGTCTTTACGAACAAGATTCCGAACGACGCGCGCGTGTGACAACGACGGCGAACATTTGATAAATTGTGGTGTACAGTAGATTCTCTACAATTTTTCCTCAGCTTGTAAACAAAAGTGGACAATTTGGAAAGAGGAAATACGATTATTCGAGCCCTCTGGCTCATTTTTATAGTTTCTGACAATCGGCGACAATGGGAGACAATTTGGGAGAATTTACTGTACATTGAAATACTGTAATTTCTCCTTAATTCGCGCTCGGATTGCGCACAAAAATGGACAATTTAGGAAGACAAGATACGATTATTCGAGCCTTGCAGCTCGTTTTTGTAGTTACCAATTGTCAACAACTATAAAAACTAGCCGCAAGGCTCGAATAATCGTATTTCCTCTTCTCAAATCGTCCACTTTTGTGCGCAATCTGAGCGTGAATTAGGGAGAAACTGCCGTAACTGGTTTCTGGTATATTCTTTTACGATTTCTGACATTATAGTGATATTTCTATATGAAATTTTTAGATAAACGTCTTTATTCAAGCATACGTTATAATAGAAATTGTACGAAGCTCGAACTGTTATAAAATAACACAGTTTGTAAATCTTGTCACTGTTATAAAATAGTATACATACATTAGTTGCATTTAGGGCTCGGCAGTTCTAATGTCAAACGAATCACTGCGATCTCTCAGTCACAGAGGTTACCTAGAAAATTCCGTGAATTCCAACGTGCTCTAAATTTTAAAGCAACGTTTGCAGTGTATTAAATACCTTGTTGCTCGTTTTTATAGTTACCGATTGTCAACAACTATAAAAACGCATGGCTCGAATAATCGTATTTCCTCTTCTCAAATTGTCCACTTTTGTGCGCAATCTGAGCTCGAATTAGAGAGAAATTACTCTAAATCCTCCGGAGATTCTGTAATTACATCGATCGCGAAAATCGAGCAGTTCTTCTCGCGCTTATTCGAAGAAAATGGCGACGGAGCCGACAACGGGCGAAATTGCGGTAACGAGAAACTCGCGGCGTTTCCGAGAATGAAATCTCTAGATCCATTACGGGAGCGGTCTCTCTCGCCTTGTAGAAAACTCGAGGCAGGAGAGAAC